ACCGACAGTCTCAACCGAGAGTGACTCTTCCCCCCCTACACACACCCATTGTTGTGTGATGCTAGATATCAGATGTTGTGTAGGACAGACCCGATTTGCCTCCGTGTGGCAATAATAATCCGAGAATTCATACCATAAATCAGCTTGCCAACCTGTTAGTAAACGTTTTGTCAAGAAAAAGTGATAACATTATCTGAATGAGGTGCTCATATACAGTATCAGGATAGAGACCACATTGACATAATTGGAGATTGTCACGAGACAAATATCACCAAAGGCAATTACGTTGGGTATAAAAGACTGGAGAAAAAAATCAGATGCTTAGATAGGCAAAGGAAGAAACCCTGGCAGTCAAGTAATAGCTGTAAGTGTAAGTTAAGGTGTTTTGGAACTGTACTTTTCTAACTTTTTGTAAGTAGGCAAAATCACCACTGTGACACTTAACAAAACTCTACTGATTTGGTTTTGACTGTGCATTTTATTTTATTAAGTTATTTATTAATATGATTTACTAGACTTTTAGATTCTACATGCTTTTTTTACTATAATCAAAATACATGTATGTTCCAAAATTAAATAATAATCAGTCCTGAGTTACGCATACAGGAGATTGAACTCTGCTCAACATAGACTAACAACAACCTAGAAATGCAAAAACTTAAAATTTCCAAAGAAGTTCACCAATAGAGATACAATAGTATTCATAACAATACTTCTGTATCTTCTTCTTTTTTTTTATCTTTATCCATATTCTATTTTATATTCCTAATATTACAAATTTTATTATACATTATGCTTATCTTTACAGTAATTGAAAATACTACAGCTTAAAAGCAGTTACGAAAATAAGTAAATGAAGGTTTACACAATAGTTCAAACACAATTTCTGTTTGTAATGAAAATGAATACTAAAAGGTACAAAGAAATAACACAACTATTTCTGGTAAATACTTAAAAAACTTTAAATTGATATTAAAATGTTTACTTCCAGTTTTTTAGCAATTTCAGGTTTAAATCTTAATATGAAGCTTTCATGAAATGAGAAACATCATTTTTAAATATACATAGTTAACAAGCCAGAAATTTTAGTTATCAAAATGTCCTCAAAGTTTGACTGAACTTTTTCCCAAACACAGTATTCAGGATTTTCTAGCAAAAAAGGGGAAAAAATTCTGGAACTTAATAATAATCGTAAAGAATAGCCTGAAAATTTAAAATCCTTAACAATTAATTGGAGAATATCTCTCTTGAAAAAGTTTATAATCAAGTCTAATTAAAAAGTATAAGTTTACTGATTAAATAATTATGTATTTAAACTAATTTTACTTCTGTCTTACCTTGTAGGATTCTTGTTTATTCACCTTGGTTGTCCCCTGCATTTCTGATGTGTTAAGAATCCCCTTTACATCAGTCTGTATGATAAAGTCATAAAACACATGTTATTTCTTCATGAAGAAAGAAATTTCAATATTAGAAATCTCGTGTAGCACACATTTCCACTTATCATTCAATAACATTTACATTTTATTAAGATTTAGGTAGCAGTACCAGAAGTGATGTTTTTAAACTGTTAAATGATTACTTACCACTCAAACTTGTGAAAAATCAACATGATAAACCTGATTTAAAACACACAGACTTGTGTTTCTGTAATATAGCCTCTCACTCATGAGATAATATTACACATTTTATTCACACTATCAACTAAAGATCATAGACTTCAGCTTCCTAAGGCTTCTTTCATCTGCGTGTTTAAAATAGAAATACTGTCAGTGTACTATACGTGTTTGTTAGCACATTTCAAAGATTTCAACAACTAATAAGATTTGCCACTTACTGGCACTTTTTGAAAAATCACTGGTGGTATACAATATTAAATTATATCACTGCTACACTCAAAACCATTTCTTTTCATCTTGGCCTGCAATGAAACCTAAAATAGCAACACAAATACAAACAGCTTACCGACGTTTTTGGTGGGATTTTTCAGATTTGCAATTTATTATTAAATGTTTGCCAGTGTTGGAGATTCAAATACTTTTATGATACTTTAAAAATAATACATTCTATAATGGTGTTGTTGTTTTGCCATCAGGTTTGGTTTATTATTCCTAATTTGTTTTTATACCATTCACTACTAGTGGGGTACACATACTGATCTCGTACCAACTAATTCTATATTTTTTAGCTGTTACAACACACATTTAAAAAAAATGATGACATGAAATTACCCATTTTCTTTTTAAAATACGTAGGTAAGTCCCAGTAGTACCACTAATTACTAGTGGTACTATCTGCAGTATTCATGGCACTTTTGTTATATTTTTAATGTGAATCAGATGTTATTAGTAGACCTGTAACTAACAAAATAATGGACCCAAAAGAAATTTTGTGAATAAGTATTTTTGAAAAACCAGTGTTTAAAAAGTTGGTGAGGGCTCTGTTGATAATTCTAGGTTTAATAAGAACTGATGTAAACGTTTCTGTACACAAAAAAGGAAAAAACGTGATTACAAAATGTGTATTGTTTTGGTTCTATTCACTTTAAAACAAAATAGACCAACAAAAGTAATCCCAAGTCACCTGTCAACAAACACCAATAATGCACAATTTTTACAGTACACTCAGACTCATTAACAAATCTTTAAGAACAATATTTAATGATGCAGAATGACTTCCATCATTTACAAATAACGGAGCCTGTTAGAATCCATATCACAAATAACAAATGATACGAACATAACAAACATAAATACCATTTGTCACAGTATTCGCAACTGACCAATGAAGTTCCACAACTTTTTTCTACTAGAATATTCAGGATAATACCTAACACTACTGATTTGCCAAGTATGACAAATAGAAGGCAAAGAAAAAGAAGGTGCACATAATTACTTACACTCGGAGGAAGAGCAGAGTTCCTGGATGTTTCCACAGGAATCAGCAATTCATCATTTTCATTTGCAGCTGTGACATTTGTGAAAAAATAAATTATTTTGCCAACCCGATCTAAGTGTCCATAACGTAAAACATAAAACCATCTAAAACCTTGAACAAATTTCCAAAATACATTAATAACATATATAAGCACAAAATTTAAACAAAATAAGTTGTTAATATGGTATTCCAAGATGCACTTGGCCAAAAACCAAATGCTGAGTACTGCTATAAGAAACGTTCAAAGAAAATGCTTACAGAAGAATAAAGTGAACTGGAACAGCAAGAACATGAATACATTTAATAACACAGGAATCAAATTGTTATTAACACACATAGATGTTGGTTTTATTCTTCATAATATTTAATTAAGTATTGTGAAACAAATTGGCTGGTTTATTTTCTCAAACTCTGGAGCACAATGAAAGTATTCGTTCACTGAATGAACATGAAGGAATTGCTAATATACCATACTTTCAGTAAGGAATGAATTCTCATGCAGTATCCCATAATACTAAATTACCTATGACAGTAACAATTCTCTTTGATATTTAAGGGCAGATTAATGCTCCTATCAACCTATATAAATTTCTGCACCACCTTTTCACTTGGGTACAGTTGGAATTCCAGAAGAAAGGTGAAACAAGAATGATTAGGCAATTAAAAGCCTTCTTGAAGCCCAAAACCTGGGACTACTGAATTTTAAGTTTGGGCTACTGTGAATTCCACACCTTCTAGCTTGGTGTTAGTGCAATTCTGCTCACATGAACGTAAAATCCAACTCTATATTTATTCATTAAAATTTACAAAATTGTTAACTACTAACTGTCACTGAAATGTTTTTGAAATTGGTATTCTTTTTCTTAAGGATATACTAATCCATCACAAGTCTGATATATAAATGTATTATGTATGATTTAATTACAGACTTGTAAAATTTGATGTCTAATAATTCAGTTTTGAATTTATAACATTCCTAATCTATGTGATTATTTTTGTTGGGATTAGAATAAATATTTTTAATGCATTGATATGAAATGAATTAGCCGTGTTTGGGGGAAATCACTTGGACTACCCACTCAGAACTCTCCAGCCTTTTCCCCAAGTACACCATAAAAAGGGCAAGATGTTTCCAATATCAGATTGCCTTGTAGTTGTGTTGATTTCACTGTATATTAAGACTGGATAACCTAGCCAAGAATTTTATGTTTATTTTTACCATCTGAATTAAATCATACTTTCATTATGTCAAGAATACCAGCCTATCACATCTGGTTAACCTGCCTTTAGATTTTATGTTCCTGTCTACACCTGAGGTGATGATTAGATAAAGCTCACACCTAGTTACATCCTGTTTATGAGAATATTAACTAAATGCAGTATACTGCATGAAAATTATAAAATCTTACTTAAATATACCTGAATAAAAATATATCCAATTTCAAAGCTAAAAGTTAGAGTTAAGAACTTGTTAATTTTAAACTGCCATTTCAATACCAGCAAACACCTCAATAATTTACAAGATAGTAGGCACACAGTGTAGTAGAATGTTAACAGATAAAAATAGAATAAATTAAATTCCATTGTGATTGAATAGTAATATACATCACTATATTTTAATTCCTGCTTGTGCTATTAAGTATGGATGACGCAAATGCCATCCCTACTATCGTGTTTGCATTGTTTATGAAGGATTGATATTACCCATCCCTATATTTACTTCCTTTTTTTGAAAAATATTTTCTTTACTCGTGTTTTAATGCAGTGTTTCAATAGACATAGGAAGGTTGTATGTATAACCAAGTTCTAAATACAATGAGGTTCCAACTGTAATATATGTTTGGTAATTCCTGTTTCACCCTCTACGTAATCTTTTTAACCCTTTCACAATGGTTGGGTCTAATTGCACATGTTATAGTCTTTTAGCATTTTATTTTCAAAACTATTAAGTAAATTTATTATTATTATTATTATATATCAACAAAACTGGCATCAAAACGTTGCTTATGTTTCAAGTTTTAATATTATGTATGTTTTAATTTCTTAATTCAAAAGAAAATATAAATAAAATAAAGCTAAATATCGATTTGCGTGTGTGTCACATAGCTAAATATCGATTTGCGTGTGTGTCACGTAGCTAAATATCGATTTGCGTGTGTGTCACGTAGCTAAATATCGATTTGCGTGTGTGTCACGTAGCACCTCCTCATGTCTTGTTGCTCAGTTTATATTTTTTTTTATACCTACTATATACGTCTAGAAGTGGTTAACAAATTAGAAACATGAATTTTTGATACTGACAAGCTAGAATATAAACTTAGAGCTTCCCACTACTTTGATTTGCTGTCAAATCAATGTATCTAGTAAATCAACTCGAGTGGTGCCTCCTCCTACTCCATTCTTTCCATACCTCTTGTTTAGTTCCACCTACTTTTCTTAAGGGTCTGTTTATAACCAACAGAAAGTACAAGTTGTGCTTTACATGATATTGACAGTTGTTTGTAAAGAGCTTGGAGGAGAAAATATTAATTTCACCAAGACTGTTGAATGGTGATGACCAAGTTGTTGCTCTGAATTGAGATAATTGTTTTTTAACACATATATACTTGATTTATAAACCCAAATGTTTTGGGTGTACCAGTAGAGTAATGTAATATATTTTTTTCTTTCTAAAATGTATATTTGAAGTCTACAAAAATTATATTTCTTCACCCTCCACTCGAAAAAATAAACAAGGCTTAGCACTAAACGCACACGAGGGCAAAATATTATCCTATCACCAAAATTTCTCGTAACTACTAGAAAACATTGTTTTTCTATATAATTTTCATTTATTGTTCATTTTTTAAGAAAAATAACTAAAATTTAAGCATTTATGAGTGAATAAATATATATTGTATTGTAGCCAAAATATCGGTGTAGTTTGCAAAACATTGGTAATACAGTTAGATTTGTACTTTGTATTTGATTCTATATATGTTTATACATATTATAAATAATTATTACTTACTTCAAGGTAAGAGTCGGTAACAACTCAAGGTGTTTTACAATTGTAAGGGAACTTTTAAACTACACTTTAGCTGAAAAAGGAAGAACGTTTTCCAGATAAGACTAGATTTATAAAACTTGCAAAACTAGATGAGTGTGATAAATAGTACGGAAACTAGAGTTTTTATTGGTTGACAAATAAGTGCTGAAAAGCAAAATAGGCTTTTATAAGCATATGCTCAAACAACATCTTTGTACACCTATGCCACTAAATTCCAAACACGCCAAAAGGATTACCAACATTCAAGGAATTGCAATGTTTATTGTATCAGCAACATACCACATAATAAATGTTTTGACAGGTTCAAAGTGCAGTGTTGTTACTCTCGAAAAGTCTTGTTGTGAACACTGTAGGATACATACATAAGTCGATAAATTACACATCTTGTTGGCATAAACGTTTTCACAGATTCTATATGCAGTATGATTATTCTGAATTTTCCAAAAAATCATTTTAGCATATATGATCTAATACTTTAGATATCCTGTTCTCGGAGCAAGGGTTGAGTCGACTATCTTTTCGCACGTGCTTTGCTTGTTTTCAGGAGTATCGTATTACGGTGGTGTCACGTAAACAGTCTACTGACACAAGCGGTGATTTATTGGTTTATTTTCAGCTGGGTTTTTACCTTAGTTGTTGACAGTAAAATAAACACAGAAAATAAATGTGAAATGTTTAGCAGTTCAAACTAGTAAGAGAAGTACTTTGAAACTTTGTGACCAATAATAACGAAAACAGCTGCTTCTTTTTGTCCTAATTTTACAACTTGTCTTTTCATTATACTTTCGGGGATTTGTCTACAGACTGAAGACTCAAGTATATCATTAAATAACTGATAAGATATAGTTTTACTGAAAACAAGTTTTGAAATGTATTTAGGAGGTTCTAAACATTACATAAAAGAAATTTGAGATTATTTGGATGAAGAATAGTATTTTAATCATAACATGAAAATCACTTCCACTCCGACTAGTAATGAAACAGAGTTGATATATTCACAAACAAATCTGTAGTAAAAATACTTCATTAAAAAATTTGATTTTTTATTTACATAAGACCTGTAATGTTTACTAAAGGTATACCAAATTTTGTGAAGATGCACATACTGAATTAAAAGTTATAATATAAATACTTAACATGTGCAAACATGTATACAAACTTGTGTATATTATACTGAGCCCATTGCGAAAGGGTTAAAGGAACACCAAATTTCTATATGAAAGCTAACTTTAAGGGGTAATAATAACATCGTTTACACTAGAATTATGTTGTGTTTTTAAGTACTACTAGTTGTTAATAAACACCTATAAAAGCAGATACTCCGTTTGAAACTATGTCACCTCAATGAAATTGGTTGACACCATTGTTTTGGTTTTAAGTTATCATGTAATAAAAAATAAGCAGAACAAGAAGAAATTCAAACTTTTTGTTATGATATTTGTGCAAATTGTGACTCAGTCATTACATAGTTATTGTTATAAAAGAAAAGACTGTATAGTAAAGTTCTGATGACCTATTGAGGAGATATCTAAAATACCATTTCAATGAACAATCCGAGCCATCCCTACATAGGAAAGGCTACCGTGTTCCTGATATAAAACACATAATAAATGTGTTCAAGATTCACTTTACAAACAAGTAAATGGCATTAATATAATTTTTTTCATTAAAAATAAACTTTCATTTCAGCTCATTTAATATCCTAAAATGTCAAAACATTACCTCTAAAACTTTCATACAGATATAAAACATTTTCAAAGTCCATGATGAACATAACACTGTATAATAAATGGCAGTATGAAATTACATCATCAAATTTACAGCAGAAAATGTGAAATTATTAGGAAAACAAACTCACAACTGAAGCTAAACTTGTCATTTGTCTAGAACATTTGAAGCACTAAACTTAATCGGTCAGGTAAAGCCTAAAACGTGTTTTAAAAAGTACTCACTTATGCAACTCAAAGTTATTATAAAACATTCAGTAAAGTCAGTATTTTTTATTTCATTATATATTCTATTACTGCCTTTGGAAAGAGTTTTGATCAATATACATACAACAAAAATAAATGATCATGCAATAACATATTTGATGAGGAAAAGCCAAGCTACTGAAAAACACATGAGAGTATTTTTCCATTTTGTGTGAAACAAAATTTAAACCTTTATGGATACTTTCAATTATTTTGGTTTACAATTAAAGTTTACAACTGGAAATTAAAGATACTGTACAACAACTTGAAAGTTATTGAAGCCCAATTTTGTCACTTTTTTTGTAACACTGTATCCAATATCATGTGATCAACTGTAAAATTAGTTTATTCTGGTTTAAACGAGTTCTAACTAATTTTAATACACTTTTTTGTTTATGCTTTATTAATGATGTAATTATATTTGTTCTGTGCAGAAAAGTAAAAAGACTGTATTATGCTTATTTCAAATAACACTTACAAATGCAAGTATTGTAGGTTTCAGTAGTACATTCCAAAATGAGTGTATGAGTTAAAATTTCTAGTGTCCCTTATTTATAAATTGTGACTTTTGCATATGTAAAAATTCCTTACCAAGAAAAAAATATTGAAACATAATATATGCTTCAAAATTCAAACAAGTTTTTTTTCAAAAACATTTTTAATGCTCCCTAAAAAAATTCAGGCAATGTAACTCCAAGAGTCAGATACATAATAATGTTTTTTAATTCTACTTCTAGGACTAATGACATTTCTTTTATTTTCAAGAAGACATATGTTTGGAAAGTTACTTTCTTACTGTTGGATAAAAAAAAATTCTGGCAAACAACCAAAGAAATTTTTAATCTAGGACAAATATATGAAATCCTCTTATACTTCAAAATATCTAAATACTGGTTTGTAGTCCATAACTATTAATTTTTTTAACTTGTTACATTACATATACGAAGAATGTTATATCCAATCAAACACAAAAGACAAAACAGGTACAGTACCTGCAGCTGCTAGAAGTGTGTTTTCATTAAACTTTTGTGTTCCAATCAGATGTCTCAAATCTGAAGATGACTGTGATTCTTGTGGCATCACAGCTGTTAAAACATATTAAAAATCTCATCAAATTCTTCAGTAGCATATTGATTGCATACATCAGATTTTTACTAAATTGACAAAATAATTGAACACTGAATATAAATGAAAGATCTAAAATAAACATTGGTTACGGAAGAATTAAAACTCATTCAAAAATGTTTACACCTTAGAAGTCCAGTAAAATGATGTATAAACTATATATAATTTACATGGGTTTCTAATTATTGGCAATGTACAAATAATAAGATAAAATTTAATTAGATTACTGACTGATGATTTGTTTCACTGAATATACCTCAATTATATTGTAGTTACTACCATATTCAGTATAATTAAACTATTAGCATGAGTGATTGCAAATACTTTGGCAATACTGAAAATTTCTGAATTTTAATAAAAAAGAATTTCCCTCCAACTTTGACAGGAATGATCATCACTGAACAGATGCACGTGTATTAAAAAGATTACACAGGTGTGAAACAAAACAAAGCACCAGACATATCAAGTCAATTAATTCCTCCCCAAAACCACCAGTACAATATTTCTATATCCAAACTAGAACTTACCCATCCACATATTAGTGTTCATATAAACCAATTCAGCAAATGTTTTTGCATATTCATACATTTTTCAATCACATGTACAGTCATTTTAATACTAGTATAATAATACTGACTTAGTCAGTTAATTCCCTGCAAGCATCTGTTTACAGCATTTACTTTTTGCTCAATGTATTATTAAGTAAGGACTTTACATTCTTAGACAGTGTATCATGAATATTTGAATGAAATGTTAAACATTTATGTTGGAAACATCTACACCAAAATCAATACAACAGGAGGAACTCGTACATTAAAACATAGATTAATTATGTGGAAATCCCTACTAAAAAAAAAAAAAAAGCAGAAAAGGGACACCTTAAATCAATGATTCCAAACCACTAGTACCCAGTTAAAATTTGACCTATATAAAAAGGAACATAATAAGTATTTCAAAAAGTTTCAAGATTGGTAAATTTTGTTAAAATGAAGGCCTTTGATTGAAGTGTACTTCATGTGCTTTTGCATAATTAATGGTCTGCAAAAATTTCATATTTAATTGTACAGTCCCAGCTACTGCAAAGCTTGGGGACCACTGCTTAATTTCAAAAATGACTGACATGTTTTTTGTTTTTCTTTCTGTGATTCGATTCCCACGGATACTAAAGAAATGCCATAATACAGCATCTCATCTGCTATATTTCATATCCTGATTCTGTGTGAAAAAACAATAATCACAAACTATTCCAAAGAAAAACTAAGCATAATTAATCTGGATTTGAATTATCCAAATTGGCTGTTCATTTTCAAATTATTTGTCATTTTGAAATGAAAATAGTGTAGATCATAAGCCTTTAAAGCTCAACTGACATCTTTCAAAATCTGAGGATTAAGGTTACTTTTCAATTTGTTAAAATGTAGGTGATTTTAATGTACAGTTTAAATAATTTTCTTTCCACATTTTTCAACTGAAACTTTTAATTGATACATTAGCTTTAGTATCTCATTCTGGAAGTGAAAAGTCGACAACCTTATTTTATTTTACATTTTGTAATTTATTTATTGTCAACACATAATTATGAATAAATAAAATGGCTGTGAACCGCAGAGAATCTTTTAAGTTGTTTTATTTGTTCAACATTTTGGCATTATACCTTTACTAGGATCATACACTGTCACCATATTCCAGAAAGCACCACCCACTTAGCAAAGTAACTGAAAAGAACCAGCATATATTGAATACTTTAAGCTTCAAATCAACTATGTCCAGAGTGATTCTCTGCATAGAAGAATCAAAAACTCTGTTAGAATATCCCTGACATGGCTTTTTTTTTTTTTTATTTGGACAGCACTTACGGCACATTGTCTGTATGCAGATGTGGCCAGAAAAGACACTTCTGCATGTTTTTGACAATGGTGCTCTCGCATCGTGCAAAGTTCAACATATCATTTACCTTAGTTTTGGGAATGATCAGTTGCTTCACAAATCACCTATTAAATTTCCATAGCTCATAGCAAGATTCACCACACCATCTTGCATGTGTAACTAACTAATATTGCCAAATGTTATATGCACCAATACTACATTTTCATGACAAGTAATACCTAAGATATTACTGGATCTTTTAGTTTCTCCTCCTAAAGTTCTTGATAATTTATAAACCATGTTCACTGGTTGTTCCTGAGTTTTGTGCAAAGTTACTCGAGAGCTTTCATGACCATTCAAAAGTAGAATCACCACCACTCATATGATTTATCTTCATCATTCTTGCAATGGCTTTAACTTATGTACGACATCCAGGATTCAGATACACTCTCATTGATGAGATAATGCATCAGTGTTTACATGCTTCTGATTCAACAAGGTATTGCACAGTGTTTTGTATTCTTGAAACATTGTAATCTAACACTCAGTCATACTTTATGGCCAGGGCCAGACTTAAACCCTTTAAGATTCCCATGCAATACTGTGATGCTAGAGGGCCCCCTTACAAGGGTGATTCAAATGACCAATAAAAATTAAAAAATTATCCTATTTGAAGAACTCTACCAAGAGTTGCTCTTGCATATATTATAAGGCCAGGAGCCACTAATGCAGAAGTTTCAGCCTGATATTGGAACATATTAGCACTCGAATCATCCTACTTCATCTCCAACTAAATATTAATTCCTCTAAACATGAATGAAACTCTTATCTTTTACTCCTTCAGGACATACAGATCTATAAGTGTACTCTGGGTGCTTTAAAGGCTGAAAAATCATTAATCAGATCATCATATAGCACCTTTCTTGCAACTCTATGCTCAGTGAAAATCTGAGCAAGACCATTCAAACACTCCTGGGACACAGTAGACCTCAAATAGATTTCTTATCAACTTCAAACATGAGTAAGTTCTTTCATCCAAGGCAACTGCTAGAGGCACAGTCAACAGTAAATGCAAAGCAACAGTCAAATTTGAATACAAATCTACCACATTTTCTTAAATAGTGAAGAAACATTGCATGGTAGTGCTTTAATTGCACATGATACTTCTAAATGTAAAGCATAAAAATCAGTGTCCCCCATTTTGTTTGCAATCTTTGCACAAGCTTGTAGGGTGTTCTGATCCAAAGTCATTTTCTTATTGTTGATAGAACAGAAAAAAGCCAATGACATCACACAAAGTTTGCATTCAAGAAAATTGCTTAGTTATGTAACTTAGAGCAACATCAATAAGTGAAAAGAAAAAGCTTTGATGATACTCGCCATCAGGAGTAGTGTTATCTGACTGTTCTTTACTCTCATTATCAAAAATTTGCCATTTCATTTTTTTGTTTTTGCTCTGGAAATACTCTTTCAACTCTCATTGCTTTAGCAATCTCTCTACCATCCACCTGGACCTTTATAAAACCACTCTCTCTACATATATTCTTGTAGAAATATAAGGATAGCTTCAATT